TCAGTTTTGCTTTCTGCCTGTCTTACTTCTCAGCTATACGATCCCACTCTGATTCGCGCACAGCATGGACGGTCGGTGTGGATGGGCTGGATCGTGGTTGCGTATTCATACCCTCCGCTTGCATTTGGTTAGTGGTGAAACAATCCCTCAGAGTGAAGACTGCAAAAGCCATGGTATGAGGTAGTCTGATCAGACCTCCCTTTCCCCTTCCCGCTCTCGCCATTCCCTTCTTCACCCCTTTCCTTCCCCCCCAACTCTCTGTCTGTCCATTGATCTGTCCCTAATTCCACGAAATCACTTTCTCTATTTTCTAGTTTATGAAATTGTGTGACTCCTCAATTATATTCTTTCCAATCCTTATCTCAAAATGCTAAAGCATTAGGAGCAAACTTGAAATCATTGAGGTTTAAATGTTGTTGTGGCCATTTTAGGCCACACATTTAGACTGCCTTTATGAGTTGGGAGAGAAAAATCCTCTCTCATCAGAGGACACTTCCATCTGTAAAGATTTTCTGGAAAGCGTGTTGACCTACCACCTACACTAGCACCTCCCAGAGCTTAGGCTGTTTCCTCCAAGTTCTACCATCAATTGATGAATTAAATCAAATAGGTTAAGATGTGAATAGCAAGCTAAAAGAGCCGTATTGGTTACCACATGCCTATCTATTATTTCATGGGAAGTTTTGACGGAGATGCAGGAATAATCGCAAAGCAGCTCTCTAGAGGAATTTGTAGGTTTCTCGTTCCTGAACATTAGGGGTTGTTGGCCTCGCTGAACTCCTCCTGGTCGGCCCGTATCATGTGGGAACACAAGACCTAGAATTACGGGAGAATAAAACCACTTCCTGCCGTAACTTCCATGTAGCAATCACGCGCATGTGCTGCATTACCGTCACCACCGCAGATGTCTGTGCTGAAATATTTGCCTCCTGATAGTTCACTTTGGGATCGCAATGGTATTCGAGATGGGTCATAACAATAGTCTAGTGGCATCAGTTATGCCACATCACTGTTAACGCATTTAAGTAGGAGAATGTTGTGAACATGAAAGTGAGAGACACACCTATTTGTGCCTTTTCATGAATCAACCTGTTTGAGCTTTGGAGAATTCTTAATCTTTTAATCTGCTGTGTTTTGACCATTTTAGTAGACCC